CCCCAAAACCCCAAAACCCCAAAACCCCAAAACCCCATGGGGCTCTATAATCTTAAGCTAAGCCAATTGATGATAAAAATGTTAAGATTACATCTATTTTATTGCTAATATATCCTTGTCAAAGTTGATGGATGTTTTGTAAATAAGAAACAACAACCGAGATATCATCTCTCATGATGTTATCCTCAAATTTCTATAGACTTGCCTTCTTTCTAACTTCGTCCCATCCCTCAAGTGAAAGTCTAATAATAACAAAGTTATTTTAGTTATAAAAATTACTTCTTTTTGGTTCTGTTGATTTCATTGAATAAATCCCATCTTTCGCGAGCTTCATTAGTCAGCATCCTACTCATCTAAGATGGATCTTCTGGATTCCTAAAAATATTAAAATGTAAGACATTTACTTTGAAATGAAACCAACAGCTTCAGCACTACTGATGACGTCCCACACACCATCAGAGCCAATCACGACAAATACATCATTAACATCTACATCCCACACTTCTATTTCTGGTTCATTGCTGATACCAATCTTATGCCCATGCAGATCCCCAAGTGTACGAGCTACGGCAAGACCTGGGCCTTCATCATCAGCCCATATACGATATGGACCTTGAGATTTCTCGTCTCTGTCGATTTTTCCTCCTTATTTGATAATTCTCTCCTTTTCAATTTATCTATTTGGCTTGTGATCTGTTGATAACTCAAAAGCGCAAATTTCTGCTTTTTTCGCATGTTATAGTGATCTTGAAGTGCAAAGTACAGCGCGAGAATCTCCAATGTTGGCTATATATAATCTCTGATCAATTTAAAGTACTGCAATGCAGCATGTTCCACTTTACCAATAATCCTATCATCATATATCATTAAGAATATCTTACCTAATTCTTTTTATACTTCTTTTGACAGTTATTGAACATATTTGAAAGAAACTTCTTTACATGCTCCTTATCCTTCATTTTCCTCAACCTCTTAGAATTCTTTCTTATTTACTCATCGCAAAAGTCTCTGGCGAGTAAAGATGCCTAGTGATAATAATGAATGTATATTTGCTATTACCTATCTACCAACATTTCCATGACCGTCAAACACACCATAGAATTTTAGATGATCTTCTGGGAGATCAATAATTGAGTAAGTGTCCTGACATTCAAACTTCTTTTTACCAGCACCTGGTTCTGTGTACCCAAAAATAGTATTTGATCTATCAAAATATTATTAATATCTTGATGATAATCGCAATTGCTTACGTATTTTTCTTGAGTTCTTCAATTTCAGCTTCTTTCTTTTCTTTGTTCTATTTTCTTCTTTTCTTTTTATCTTGCTTCTTGCACATCCTCAAAAGAGGAGCACACATTCTGCTTAGCATTTTTTAATGTTTTATTTGTTAAAATTACAAATATTATATTATTTAAGTTTAATCACTAATATGTCAAACAATATGCAATATCAATAGAATGTTTAGGAAAAAGGGGGTGAAGGAGAAGATGATTATTATGATGATGAAAATGGGGAATCTCAAGATGAATAAATGAATGACATTTAGGATTAATAAACAGATCCCACCGCATAAGTTAATCAGTTAATTTAAGGAATAAATGATAATCCATATGAGTTTGGGCTCTATCAATAGTTGATTGATGTTTATAGAGAAAACCAAATGTATTAAGAAGCTAAAGAAGTGAGGTAAAGAGTCCAGCTTTTATATTGTTTACCAGTAGAGATGTGGCTCGAATGGATTGAAGATGAAAAAAGCTTAATGACTCCAGAAGACTCTCCAACTATTTTGCTGCCATTTTATGAGCTTGCTCTCAAGGATTACAGATATTATAAATTGAGCAGAAGGTATTGTAAGCTCTTGAGTTTAATATAAGAGAACTTTCCTGATTAAATAACACCAACTTAATTTAGAGAGGGATATGAGAAAGTATTAACTATCTATAGCTTAGATGTTAATAGAAGTACCAAATTTTGGGAGCCCTACCTAGATTTTGAAAGCTAATAATTAGAACTAATGAAACAAAAAGGCGAAAGCTAAGATGAATTGAATAAATAAATTGGCAGAATAAGAAGTATATATCGAAGGAGAGCTATTCTACCCACTATGGATATGCTAGTAATATGGGATGAATATGTGAAATGGGAAACTGATTAAGAAGAACTCTAAAAAGTCTAATAGAAATATCTGGAGGCTTAGAACCGTATAGATATTGTTACTAACTTTGAAGAGAGATTCTAAAATGCATATGCTGATCTGGAGGATAAAAATGACATTGAATAGATGCTAGATTTATTGAGTAAAGATTTAGATTTGTTAGCATAGGATAACTTTAACTATATTATGCTGTACTTTGAACGAATTTTAAGTGAATATACCTTGAATCAAGATCTATGGGAACTCTACATTTAATATACTGATGAAAAATGCAAGAAAAAGGAGCTTAAGTAAGAAATATATGAGAACTCTTTGAAAAATTGTCCATAAAGCAAAGAATTTTGGCTTGGATACTTGAGAGAACTAGAGAAAAATGAAGTTGATTCTGATACGATAGTAAATAGTGTGAATCAAGCACTATCTAGTACTTAGTTTGAGATGACTATTGATTTTTCATATGATTTGCTGAAGCATTTATGTGAATATTAAGTCAGGAGTTTTCTGACTCCTCCAGGTGTTATTCCTGATCAAAGTAATGAAATAGTTAAGTTAAAAGTAGATTCTATCCGAGCTATGTATAAGGACTCAATTGAAAACTTGACTGAACAGTTTTAAGGTGATCCATTATTGATTACTTATATTGAGAAATTAATATTAAGTCATGCTGAGGTTGAAGCTTACAAAATTTAGGATAAAAAATAAGTGCAGGAGTTAATGGAGGACTATGTGAAATAAAATGGATATTAAATGATGTCGTGGGCAAACTACATCAAACTTATGAGAGTGTTTCCAGATCATGAAAAGACAGTAAGAGGTTTATTCAAAAGAGGCCTGCAAATTGCTAGAGATAACAAAGTATTATTGGCTGAGTTATGGATTGAATGGGAGAAAAAGTAAGTCATAAGGTTTGTTTAATCAATTATTTTTATAGGTTTTCAACTATATAAAACATAGATTAATGCATTAAGCATCTCAAAAAATTGAATCTTTACTCACAAATAGGAAAAAATATAAGGCCTAGCTAGGCTTAATATCAATAATAAGTACCAGAATAAAACCAGAAATAAAAGAAAAATGACAAAAAGGGTTAAAATCAGAGATAAGATCTAGAATATTTAGAAAAAGAAGTAAGGTATGATGCCCAAGCAGATTAACCACAAAAGAAACGCCAGTAAAAAGAAGATTTTAAAAATGATTAAAAGTATGAGAGGCAAGAAAGATAAAACAATGATAAAAATAGAGAATAGCAGCAGTAGATTGAAAAAGATGAAGCCAAATAAAACTAGAAAAAGAAAAAGAAGACATTATATTTAAATAACCTTAGTGAAGAGACAGAAGAAGAGGACATAATGAGTATGTTTGCAAAGATAGTACCAGATGTTTAGCTGCTTGATGTAAGACTGATCAGGGATGAAAACAATAAGAAAAAGGGATTTGCTTTTGTAGATGTTGAAAGCTCTGAGATGGCTGAAAAATCTCTAAAACTGCATAATTATCATCTTAAAGGTAAAGCTCTAAAGATTCATATATATAAGCCTCCTTCTGAAGGGTAAGTAAAGATCAAAATGTTAATAATGATATAGAGAAAAAGATGCATTAACTGTCTATGTAACAAACCTTCCATACACATGCAATGAGGAAAAACTCAGAGATCATTTCAAAGATGTAAATTATTGGTTATTATTCTTATTTAGGTTGGAGTTGTTGATGAGGTTAGATTACTTAGAGATAAAGATGGAAAATTAAGAGGATATGGCTATATCTAATTCTAAGATAAGAAATAAGTAGATTTAGCAGTGAATACCCTAAACAAATCTAAAATTGATGGAAGAACAATGGTTGTGTAATACAGTAAATCTAACAAAGAAGTGAGAGATCACATAGGTTATACAGTTCTCATAAAGAACTTAAGTTATCATGTTAATGAAGAAGAGCTAAAAGATTATTGTGAATAAAACTTTGGAGAAATTAAGAAACTTACATTGGCGAAGGATGATCGTGGTAAATCTAAGGGTCTAGCCTTTGTAGAATTTGTAGATGAGTAAACTATGAACAAAGCTATTCAGTAAAAAGATTTACCTTTAAGAAACAGAACTGGTTTAATCATGAAGTCAGTAAGATAAATTACTGAGCCTAAGGTAGAAGTCAGGTAATAGCATTCAGAAGGCAAAGGGGATAAAAAGAGAGATGCTAAACGTGAGAGAAAGACATTAATTTCATCAATAATTGATGAAATAAAGAATGAGTAGAAGGATGAAGTCAAAGAACAAAGTAAGGCTGTTTAAAGTCAGGATAAATCATTTGATATACCTGACATAAAAATTAAAGAGGGAATATAAACTTCCTTAATAAAAGATAATCCTCAACAAGAAAATACTATAGCTGAGGAGTAATAGACATAAACGAAGAAAATGAGTAATAATGACTTTAAGAAATTTTTGCTTTCTGGCGGAGGCAAGAAATGAATAGATAAACATATTTGATGATTTGAAGTCTTGAGTTAAAATCATGGGATAAACAAGAATTTAGTAACTAACAGTGTCATGTTAATTAGTTTAATTAATCATACTTGTGAAAATTTAAATGTCTAAAACTAATGATATATTGTAGTCTTATGGGGTTTTGGGGTTTTGGGGTTTTGGGGTTTTGGGG